AATTACATATAAGAGGATGTGAGGGGAAAGGGAAAAAAAATCAAGGAAGATAAATGAATTACAGTAGATGGGGTAGAGAGAGAAGATGGGAGGGGAGGGGAGGGGGGATAGTAGAGGATAGGAAGGGCAGCAGAATACAACAGACACTAGTATGGCAATATGTAAAAATGTGGATGTGTAACCGATGTGATTCTGCAATCTGTATACAGGGTAAAAATGAGAGTTCATAACCCACTTAAATCAAATGTATGAAATATGATATGTCAAGAGCTTTGTAATGTTTTGAACAACCAATAAAAAAAAAAAAGAGAGAGAAGTCATTCAAATGAGGCAGAGGATCAGGTTTCAGGGGGTTGAGTCTACCTTCCAGACTCAGCTGTCAGCAGGTTGACTGACAACTAGGAAGGCCACACCCAAAGGCAGAACAACATAAGGGGACACAAAGGGTGTTTCCCTGGAACATTCTATCCGAAACAGGGCAAAGGTCTAGTATTACAAAAGAATAGGTGAGTATAGCTCAACCCCATGGGTGACATGCCTACACCTACTTCCCAGGCTGGGACAATGCCCAGGTCAATACAAAATGTAATGATTGGTCAGAGCCTCCTGCTTCAGGACTGGCAGGCATGGGTCATTCAGAGTGACTCCCCACATGCCTGTTTGGCGTGAGGCATTGGGTTCAATCCTCAGCACTGCATAAAAATAAATAAGTAAAATAAAGGTATTGTGTACATCTACAACTAAAAAAAAAAATTGAAAAAAAAGGATGACTAACAAAGTTCACAAATAGATGGTAGTTTGTGAAAAAGACTTTTACCCAATTAAGTACAAGGAAAGTTACAAACCAGACTTCCACTTTCTAAAAATAAGAAGTTTACTCAGGGTGCTGGGATTGTGGCTCAGGGGTAGAGTGCTTGCGTAGCATGCATGAGGCCCTGGGTTAGAACCTCAGCACCAATAAAGATATTGTGTCCACCTAAAAACAAAACTAAATAAATAAATAAATATTAAAAAAAGAAAGAAAAGTTTACTCAGTCTTAGATAACTACAGACAGTTAGCTGCAGTTGATACAGTATCTTTTTAAAAAGTGTCTTTTAAAAAAGCCTGTTGCCATGGCAGATTCTGGTCATTTGTTACTTCCTAAGCCAAAACACAATACAAGATCTGACTATTTCCCCAGGACAGGCTTACTAGTTGTCTCTATGCATATTTATACCTATTTAAGTGCTCCGTAAAAGTCTTGTAAAATTTCTAGCACTACCATGTTTAAAACAAGCTTTCCTACTGAGCTGCCAAAAAAAAAAGGTTATAAATAACAATTTTCAAGTGTAATAGTACAAATTCCTCTGCAAGATCTACTGCAGAGAAGTTTTTTTTTTTTTTTTAATACAGATTTTTCCTTAAAGGGATTGATGTTAAAATTTAGATATGTCAGAGAGAAACTGAAAGTACCCTAGGACTTCACTCCATAGCAAATAAAATGATCATTTACTTGGACACACAGGCTATTAAATCACTGAAGGTACTGTCCAAACCATGGCACTGTCACTTAAAAAAAAAAAAAGATTTTTTTTTTTTTAATCACTCTGTGACATGATTTAAATTCCATAGTCCAGGCTGGGGATATAGCTCAGTTGATAGAGTGCTTGCCTCACATTCACAAGGCCCTTGGTTCAATCCCTAGCACCAGGAAAAAGTTATTTTGGAGACAGGAGGCGACAGGAGAGTGGAAGAGACAGAGATGACGGACCTCCCCAGCTGCCTTCTCCTCCAGCTCCGTCACTCCAAATATCCCAGGAGTTGCATTTCCAGTTCCATAGGGAGAAGTGGCTTAAATTTCTAAAGAGTATATTTTTAAAATGTATCAGTAATATAATTATGCTTACATTTTGACACAAGAATTTCTCTCTTTCCCTCTCAGTCTCTCTCTCCCTTCCTCCTACCTCCCTATGGGGTCTTGCTGTGTTGCCCAATCTGGTCTTGAACCCCTGGGCTCAAGTGATCCTCCCACCTCAGCCCCCCCAGTAGCTGGAACTATATAGGCATGCTTTGTGCCCAGCAAAAATTTCTCTTAGGGGCTGTATTAGATATGGAAAATGACAAACCCCCAAAATAGTGAGACCTGGGAAAAGGGGAGTGAGAAGGAAAGGCATACGTTGAGAGCATTGATCCTTTCCAATACATTCTTTTTCTGTGATAAAACAAATCCTGAGGAAGAGGTGTCCATCACACCCAGAAAGGCAGTCTGGGGAAGGGGCCAAAGCATTAATCCGTCTATAAACATATCCTTTCCAGATACCAACCACTGATCCCAGGCTCTCCATCAGGTCCAGAAAGATAAACCCCAGAGACTGCTGACCCTAGACTCTCTCCCATTTGCCCAGTAAAACAGACCCCAAATTCCAAATTCCAAGTTGACACACTCATTAATTAAGCCACCCTTCCTTTGTTCAACGACTCATTTTCCACCAGGAAAGTGGATCCATTCCCATAGGTATAGCTCCATTCCTGAATAAAGGCTGAAATGATCTGTGAAATTTGCACCCAGCTTGGTCTCTTTGTTCTAATACGCTGGGGCTGTAGCTTGGTGGCAGAGCGCTTGCCTGGCACATGTGAGGCACTGGGTTCTATCCTCAGCAATACATAAAAATAAATAAATAAATAATAAAGGTATTGTGTCCTTCTACCACTAAAAGTATTTTTTAAAAATTTTTCTGTTAGGAATTTATCCTAAGACGACATCACACACACTTTTAAAAATATATAACAAGGATAGCCTTTGAATTTTGGTTTATAAAAGCAAATGAGGGGCTGGGGTTGTGGCTCAGCAGTAGAGCACTTGCCTAGCATGTGCGAGGTCCTGGGTTCCATCCTCAGCACCACATAAAAATAAATAAATAAACATATTGTGTCCAACTAAAAAATAAATATTTTTTAAAAAACTTTAAAAAAAGCAAATGAATGAAAATAACCTAAATGATATGTATAATCAATTTGATAGTAGTTATGAGTAGTGAACACTTATTATGTCCCAGTCAATAAGTGTCCCAGACACTTATTATGTCCCAGTAGTGGACATTTATTATGTCCATGAGGACCCAGTATGTGATCCTTTGTATAGACAGAGAAAAGGAGACTCAGAGAGGTTAAGAAGACTGGTGAAGTTAGCTGGAACCAGGGGGTTTTCTCTCAGGGACCCTGTTGACTCATTTTCCATTGATTTCCTGCCCATCAGTTGGTGGGTGTGACTCTGTACCCCATACAAGTGATCTGTTCTGAAATGTGCTATGAGAGGAGGTAACAGGACTCAGAGCTCAGGAGGACATCAAGGAGCAGTGTGACTTCACTGTCCACATTTTACTAACATCCATCATCTAACAAGTTTCGAGGTCTCTGACACATCAAGTGATCATCTAGACACCAAAGCTGCAAGAAGAAGTAAAGGAAGACCTTTGTGATATGGAGCTTACACTGTTAAGAGCAAGATGGACATTTAACAAAAATTACCAAGATAAATGTAAAATCACTACTGAATTATGAGAGAAAATTTCATGATGCCATGAAAACAGATAAGAAGGAGACACAACAAGTGTCCTATCACTATTATCAATAATATGTAAAAGATGTAGGGCTGGGGATATAGCTCAGTTGGTAGAGTGTTTGCCTTGCATGCACAAGGCCCTGGGTTCAATCCCCAGCACCACACACACACACACACATAAAAAAGATGTAATAAAATAGGTAGTATTTATGAAAGAGGGACACATGTATATAAAATTATATACAAGAACAACATAGAATTATTGATATGAATAGTTCAGCAGATGAATTGGAGTGTGAAAGCAAAAAAATGGAAAAATGATTACAAAGAAGAACAATCACTAAAAATTGACAAAACGGGATGATATAATTAACTGTGAATGCTGAACAGTAAAAACAAACAAACAAACAAAAAACTGGAGAGGCTAAAAATTAATCTGAGGATGATAAAACTGACAAAGCTAGTGTCATCTAACCATCAACTCAAAAACAAAGGAAAATATATTAAAAATGCCAATCAAGAAACTGCAAGTGACCTGCAGACTCAGCTAGCAGAAGATGAACAACTGGTGAGGCTTTAATAGACCTTGGACCTCAGGTGTCACTGACTGGTGAGTGATGGCCCTGGGCTTGGGGACCTAAGGCTCTTCTTTCTCTTCTGGCAGAGGAAAGTTTGCAGCGTGAGTAACCCTTCTTCTGAGCACTGAGTTTCCAGTTCTGGCTCATCTGAATCCAAGCTGGTCACTTAGGAGAGACTTGAAACATTGAATAAGCATGGACTACCTGGATTCTTCTGTAAAGGAAACTGTGAGCCTCAACTGTGAGTCACATCCTCAACTGTGAGTCACATCCAAAGTCACATCCACAGTTGAGGCTCACAGTTTCCTTTCCTGTAATGAGACTCTAGTCTTTAGGACAAGAGACAGACAGACATATCTACGCTGAAGCTCAGTTAGTCATCTGGGCTTATAGATGAAAAACTCCAGCCTAGCCTGACAGGGCTTTATTATCTGAATAAAGGTTTTCCACTCCCATCCCCAGTGCCCAGCTTAGGGTCTCCATCATGCTCCAGATTCCTGAATACTAAGGGCAAGGTCCCACCCTGTTTTAATCAGAAATCTCCTTTCCCACTCAGTAGGAAGCCTGGCTTTCCACATTAAGACCCCCAAATCTGCCTACTAAGCTCAGGTCTATCTTTGTCCTCTCTTACAGGACAAAACCTTTTGGCCCAGCACTCTAGAAAACTCCTGTGAGACAATATTGTTTGCTGAGCAACGGAATCACAAAAAGCAAATGTGACCCTACTTCGGTTGGAAATAAGCTGCTATCTCAATTGGCAATAGAAATAGATATCATCTAGCCACAAACCTGAGAACAAGAAACTGCAAGCAACAACCATCCTCAAAAGAACCAAACTATTTCACCAAAGCAAAACAGTTAAACCAAGCTGTGGACTTACTTCCCTCAGCTAGCAGAGGATGAACAAATTGAGAGGCTTTAGCAGAGCTGGGAATTCAAGTGTCATCTTCCCTTGGTGAAGGAAAGTTTGCAGTGTGAAAAACTCCTCCTCTGGGCTGAGCTTCCAGTTCTGACTCAGAAGTTAGGTTGGCCTCTCTGGGAGTCTTGAAACTCACTGAATGCTATTTGAGCACCAGCACCTGGGTTCTTCTGTGAAACCAAGCTGCTAATGCCATCTGCCCACAGAAACCCATCTGGACCAACAGGAAAGACCCTGACCACATTGTGAATGTGACCAGAAGATGGGGCTCTGCTGCCTGTGACCTCTTCTGCTCCCACCCTCAAGCTTGGGTCCCCAATCCAGCGTTTAGGGGACCAGGTTGAGGAACCTCCCTCTGCCTTGAGGGCATGCTTGGGGCTTTCTTGGGAGATTGATCACTGTGAAAGAGGAGAGGATAGGCAGGTAGACCAGCCTTACATCAAGCCCAGGTCTCCCTGTTTCTACATCTGGTCTCCCAACTTTTCCAAACAGGGAACCTGAAAAGAGATGATTTTATTGCTTCTGTCTAGTTCTCTCATTCTCCTTGTGTTCAACTGGGAGGGGACATGATATGTAACAAGGAAAACTCCAGCCCACAACAGTGAACCAAAGAGGAGTGGCCAGCCCTCAGCAGGCCCTGGAATGGCAATGGTCAGCTCCCAGTCAAGTTAGACTCCCTAAATTTGTGTTTGTGCATCAGGTGCTACCCTTCCAGCCTTCCTCTACCCCCTCCCCATCTCTCTCAAGTGGGACTTAGCCAGGGTTTACCTGACCAGTGTGTCTTTTAGAGAGTGGTCCAAAAAGACTTGTGAAGGAGGAAGGACAGTGAGATCAGTGAAGAGAAATGAGAAATTTGGAACTTCAGGTTAGGACCCAGGAAGGAGCTGGAACCTTGCCTCCACAGTGACAAAGTTATGGACTTTGAAGGTATAAAAACATCTTTCCATAGTTGGAGACAAGAAGGTGCCATCAGTTTTATTGCCTATCAGTCAAAGATCTCAGCTCTATCTTCAGTGAGTTCTGGCTGCTTCTAGGGAAAGCTGAGCCCAAGAGATATTTTTACTTACACAGATGAAGATTCTAGGATGAGGTTATCTCTGGTCCCAGAGAAGGAAGCCTAAGTTTATATTAGTGTCTTTGAAAAGAGTTTTTAAAAAGAAAAAAATAGCATTTTGCTTTCCCCTACTAAATATATATTATCAATTAGTTGGTCCCAGGGGTGACCATGATAGCACTAAAGCTAGTCTTCTGGTTCATATTTGTCTCTCCCCTACTTCATAAAGCTGCATCTCCCTACCTCTTGAAAAGAGTAAACCCCAGCACAGGGTCCCATATCCCCAGCCTGCAATTCCACTTCTGGTGACCCCACAAGCCACATTAATCAGGAATGGGAGAATAACTCTCTAAAGAACCATTTGTAGCCCAAGAGCCTGGAAGAGCATTCCTGTGAAGGGATTGCCTCAGGGGTGCTGGAGCTGATTGGGCGGAAGGGGCAGGCTCCCATTCAGGCTCTTCAGCAGGCGCCCACTGAACAGTCCAGAGTAGAAGAAGAGATCCCTGAGGGCAGTAGGAAAGGGCAAAGGCACTGCTGGGTGGTCCAAACTTCGCTGCAAAACAGGGGAGGTAGATGAGAATGGAGGAGTAGGGAGGCTTGTTTGGAAATCTAGACCAGTGTGGGAAACTGGAATGGGTATGTTACTAACATACATGTCTCAAGGTTTTGGCAGTGAAAAGAGACTTAGTTAAAAACAACAACAAAAGTAACAAACAAATTAAATTAATTAGAGAAAAAGTGCTGTGAGAGAAAAAACAAATAAAAATGACAGTAAAATTAAGTAATTCAGAAATTAAAATAATAAGAATAGGATATAATATAGCTAATCTTATGATTAAAAGTAAACTTTAGAGCATTCTCAGTGAATAAGAAACTACATAATGTCTAGAAATATTTGAAAAGACAAATCTATAACATTTAGAAATTAAAATCTAATAATTGAAATCAAATTTTGATTGATTTTTCCAGATAAGGACAATTTGATGTAAACAGACCTTTACTAAAAGAAATTCTGAAGAATGTACCTCAGGCCAGGTGTAGTAGTGCATGCCTGTAATCCCAGTGGCTTGGGAGGCGGAGGCAGGAGGATTTTGAGTTCAAAGCCAGCCTCAGCAACTTAGAAGCCCTAAGCAACTCAGTGAGTTGAAATAAAATACAAAATAGGGCTGGGGATGTGGCTCAGTGGTTGAGTACCCCTGAGTTCAATCCCCGGTACCAAGAAAAAAAAATGTACCTCAGGAAAAAAGGGGAGATTCCTGGTGGAAAGTATGAGATGAAAGAAAATATGAACAAAACTAAAGGCAAATGTATTGGTAAATTGAAATTAAGGTTAACTATTGGAGAAATTATGTTGACAAAGTTAAAAATAACAATATAAAGTTGGGAGGGGATAAATAAAGTTAGTTGAAATATAAATACTTTTTCCTCTTTTCCCCATACCAATGCTGAATTCTTTTCTTTATATTCTGATTAAAATTTTTGATATAAACTTCTCTTTCATATGTGGTCTGTTTTGGTTTTGTTTTGTACATTTTGATATAGGGAAGAAAAAAGAAAGTATCCTGTAGGTCTTTGTATGTTGTCCTCATACTTCAGAGACCTTAACTTTGTAAATAATGAAGACAGAGCTTTCTGCAATGGGCAGTTTTCCACAATAAGAATGACATTTACAGGCTTGGGATGTAGCTCAAGTGGTAGCGTGCTTGCCTGGCATGTGTGAGGCATTGGGTTTGATCCTCAGCACCACATAAAAAAAATAAAATAAAGATATTGTGTCCATCTAAAACTAAAAAATAAATATTAAAAAAAAGAGGCTGGGGTTGTAGCTCAGTGGCAGAGCGCTTGTCTAGCATGTGTGAGGCACTGGGTTCGATTCTCAGCACACATATAAGTAAAAAATAAAATAAATGTCCATTGACATTGAAAAAAATATTGAAAAAAAAAAAAAAAAGGAATGACATTCATGATGTTGGTTGGACCTGCCTGTCAGTTTATTCCTTTCAGAACCGTGGACAGATCCACACATGCCGAGAGGTAGGGAGCTAGAGTTCTTAGCTGGATACAGTGGGACACCATGGTCGAAGGTTTAAAATAAACCCTAATAGTCTTGGAATTGTGATTTCAAATGTAGTAGGTAATTAGTCTCAAATACTGTATTCTCCCCACCACACTGCTACCCCACAAACTCTTTGGCTATTGATTATTGATTTCATGATCACAAAAATAGAAGGATCTTTTTTTTTTTTTTTTTTTTTAAGACAAAGAAGGCAGCTTCAAGCTAGTCTTGGCATGATTATAGTGAACTAAGAGGAAGAGATCTAGAAAACAAAAACAAAAACCTGGAACCTAGTTCTGTGGCCTCTTAATAACTGTGTTACTTTGGTCAAGTTACACAATCTCCATTAACCTCATTTCCTCATTTTCTTGAACAAGTTACTTTCATTTTCTAGATTTCATTTATTTCATTTATTTATTACGGATAATATCAACCTTTTTGCAGGGGATACCAGGGATTGAGTTTAGAGGTACTCGACCCCTGAGCCACATCCCTAGCCCTATTTTGTATTTTTATTTAGAGACAGGATTTCACTGAGTTGCTTAGCACCTTGCTTTTGCTGAGGCTAGCTTTGAACTCGTGATCCTCCTGCCTCGGCCTCTTGAGATACTAGGATTAAAGGCGTGCGCTACCGCACCTGTCCAAAAAAATCATTCTTCTTTAATGATTGTGGTCAATATTGAACCAAAAAATAACTCAAGTATTTAACTCAAGTATTCAGTGCCTGGAATGTAGCAAGTATCCTTTTAGTGCAGCCATTATTATTATTATTATCCTTGTTGCTTTGTTATTTTCCATGTAATACCATCAGAAAATTTCCTTTTTATAGGTTGCATACAGAATCTCTAAGACTTGAAGTACCAGCACTTCTTTTATATGATTTGCTGAGATTGTGAAATTTCTCTGGCAAGCCCAGCCAAACTTTCACACAAGTTTCCAGTATCTTATCCACAAGTTTCCTTTGATTCCAAATACTAGTCCTGTTTGGGACATCACTTCTGGAGTCCTGATATGTTTATACTTAGTGTTTTAGGAAAATTTATTTCCAAATAAAGTTTATTTTATTGAGGATGAGAGTTTAGAAAATTCCAGTTCAGGAAGCAAGGCAGAACAGTTACTTTCTTAGCAGGAAGAGAATAATATGCTAACTGCAACAGTTAAAATGTTTGCTTTTTGCCATTGATTATAACTGTGTTTTTATTAGTCAAAGGCCTTATGTAGTACCGCCTTCCCCCAAAATTTCTTTAAAAGCCTCTGCAATATTATACCTCTAGATAATGCCATACTTCCAGTCAAATGAGAGCAGAGCAGAGCAGACAGAAATTCATTCATGAAAAGCTCAAGTTTCCCAGCTGCTTTGAGAGGCTGAAGCAGGAGGATCACAAGTTCAGACTCAATCTCATCAAGTTGTTGAAATCCTGTCTAAAAATAAAAAAACAAAAAGGGCTGGCTAGGGATGTGGCTCAATGGTTAAGTGTTCCTGGGTTCAATCCATGGTATGAAACAACAATAAAACCCAAACAAACAAACATATAAAACCCCTCAAATTTCAAGCGCTATATGATTAAATTTAACTGTGAGAAGATAATTAGACAGAATGCAACATATATCTTGCATGCAAACCCTGACATTTTAGCTTAACGTTTTTAGGTCCCAGAGAATTTTTATAAGAGATGTGATGAACATATATTTGGTTTGTTAGGTACTATTGCCAAAGATCTCATAGATGCCCATAGGTACTCTGAAAGAGTCTGTAAGAAAGTTAATAAAGTCATTTCCAGAAACTAAGTTCAAAATTTAGTAGCATAAACAACTAAGCATTTGATAGAAATCCTGGCTACCCTTTGCCATTTAGTATAAGTATTGGGTGACTGTATCTAGGCATCTTCAATTTTAGGACTGGAAGGAATCTTAGAACTCATCATAACCAACTACACTCATTCACAAATAAAATTAAAAAATAAGTACCTTGAACTTTCTAACACCCTGCACTGATGTTTTCAGTATATGTTG